CATCGCGGAGGCCAGGGCACGCGACAGAGGCGCATTTGCAATCGAGACCGGAGCGGTGCCACCCCCTCTGGCAGCTCGCGCTGGGCCTCCTCGAAAGGCACGCCGTGCAGCCTCGGGGAAGGCCTTTGCAGGAATTGTGCGTGCCCGCAGCAAGAGGGCGCGGCAGGGGCAAGGAGGAGGGGACGGAGTCCGCTTGCGAGGCACAGCGTGTCGCCAGGGCCGCCGCCGCGACACGCTCAGCAAAAGGATCCGACCGCACAGGGAGCCAGGGGGCCACGAGCATGCTGCACGCAGCTGGCTGCGGCATCGCCGCCGGTCGCCCGCCTCGATACGCAGACGAGAAGAGGCATCAGGGGTAACGATACCCGCCGGCCAGTGAAAGTAGATACCTCTCGATTCCCAGATCTCAATCCACTTCAAGCCATGTTTTTTTTTTTCTGGGAGGGTCTGAACCCAATCTATCCGTAAGGGCTTCGCCCCCTGCCGCCGGCCCCCTCTCTCGGAGAATGGGCCATGGAAGAGTTAAGTCATGAGGCCTTGGCGCTGTCGTGAAGCAGTATCGAAACTTCATGCGAAGCCGATTCGCAATCAGCAAAACCAACTGATCACAAGAGGGGTTACTACACCTGGCGATTGGTAAGACGTGTATGGTTTACGGGCTTGGTTACCACACCTTGCTTAAAGGGCCGAGGGAGTTCTCGCAGTTTGGGTTACCACGCCTTGCGATGGATGTGCGTGAAGGGTGGCACCGAATTTCAGAAATGTGGCAAATCCCCTGTGTTTTTGGACCCTGACCCCGCGGATCTGCGTGAGGGGTGGCACCGAATTTCAGAAATGTGGCAAATCCCCTGTGTTTTTGGACCCTGACCCCGCGGATCTGCGTGAGGGGTGGCACCGAATTTCAGAAATGTGGCAAATCCCCTGTGTTTTTGGACCCTGACCCCGCGGATCTGCGTGAGGGGTGGCACCGAATTTCAGAAATGTGGCAAATCCCATGTGTTTTTGGACCCTGACCCCGCGGATCTGCGTGAGGGGTGGCACCGAATTTCAGAAATGTGGCAAATCCCATGTGTTTTTGGACCCTGACCCCGCGGATCTGCGTGAGGGGTGGCACCGAATTTCAGAAATGTGGCAAATCCAATGTGTTTTTGAACCCTGACCCCGCGGATCTGCGTGAGCAATTCGAGACCCCATGTGTTTTTGGACCCTGACCCCGCGGATCTGCGTGAGGGGTGGCACCGAATTTCAGAAATGTGGCTAATCCCATGTGTTTTTGGACCTTGACCCCGCGGATCTGCGTGAGGGGTGGCACCGAATTTCAGAAATGTGGCAAATCCCATGTGTTTTTGGACCCTGACCCCGCCGATCTGCGTGAGGGGTGTCGATTTCGAGCCCCCCCCAGCAAATCAGCAAACGCGCCCAGGGGGTGCTAAGAAATCCCGTTTGGGCCTCCCCCCCCTCTCGCGCGGTCAATCAATTTGATACAGTAACCAGCAAGAAGCATAATTGCAACACTGGAAACTACAAGCTACAACTGGTACTGGAAACTGCGAACCCGCGCCTCGCAGCCTGGTGGCCCCACAAGGGGGCCGGCGGACTTCATCCGCCTTCCTATCTCTTTTTTGTCACCTACTTCATCCAGCCGACATCCATGTGGGGGGTGCGCAGTTGGGGGGGGGGACGCATTGACCCCTGATCGCCCACTGATCGCCGAGAGCGGCCCGATCGCCCCACCAACCTGCCCAGAAGCGTGCGGACTCGCTACCCGGGGGCCTGGCCTGCCGATTCGTCGGCGATGCCTCGCCGAGTCCAGGTCGACGTGCTCCCCCCCCCTTGCCAGCCCCCCCCCCCCCTCTCTCGCTGCCCCCGTCTCTCGCTGCCCCCCCTCTCTCGCTGCCCCCCCTCTCTCGCTGCCCCCTGTGCCAGCCCCCCCCCTCCCCCCTTCGCTCGCTGCCCCCCCCAAAAAACAGGGAGCCACCGCCGCCCAGACCCAGGCCGCGGGGGCCGACCCCCCGGGCGGCGGCGCACCAGAGCGCCCGCCGCCCGGGGCACGGGGTGGCGCTCGGGCGCGCCTCTGCCCAGGGCTCGCGCCTCTCCTGCGGGCAGGAGTCGTATCCACATCCAGTGCGTCTTGGAGCTTTGGGCTCTCTTCCTCCTCCTCCTCCTCCTGCTCCTCCTCCTCCTCCTCCTCCTCCTCCTCCTCCTCCTCCTCCTCCTCCTCACCCCAGAAGCCGGAGGGGCATGGGATAATCATTGATAAAAATCTTTCCCCAGGAGGTTCGATTTTTATCCATATCCAGCGTGCTTCGGCCCTGCGGCACCCCTTCCCGACAAGTCCACGACGCCCCTGGATATGGATACAAGTGTTGCCCGCATTTCCCCCTCTCGGATTCGGTTCTCGGTGGTGGCCCTCGGCTCTCCTCGGAGTCGGCGGCGAGCGAGGGGGAAGCGAGGAGGGGCGGGCCTTCTCGGAAGACTCGGGAGTCCCCCCGGCCTTCTCAGGAGTGTTCCAGGACGTCCCCGAAGGCACGGCAAACTTCTTCCAGAAGGCGCGAGGGCTGCCGAGGAGTCCCGCCGCCTTCCGAGGGAACCTTCTCCTCCTGGTTTCCCCCCCTCGCTCGCCGCCGACTCTCGGTGGTGGTCCCTGGCTCTCCTCTGAGGTGGGCTGGGCCTCTGGCGCCCGTGGCCGCGGGGCAGGCCAGCTGACTGAGCGGATTCGGTACCGCCGGTGCGCTGAAGGAGGAACCCTTGCCGATGGGGGGGGGGCTCGGGGTTCCCGAGATGTTCTGCAGTTTGCCCCAGGTGTACTGTCGGTTCTCGATGGGACATCGAAGTTCAAGTTCTGATGCCGAGGGGCCCCGCTCCTCATGTGTCGCTCCTGAGGTCAGCGCCCCAGCTGAACCCCCCCCTGTCCCAGACATCCGACACACCGCGTTGTTTTTTGCAGCGTGGGCCCCCAGAGAGGTCCCGACCACCTCTCACCAGGACCGGCTGCCTATCCTGAGCCATCTTCGACGGCCCTCGGGTCCGGTGGACGTTCCCGGCGGCCCGGAGAGTGCCCCAGGCCCTCCGCGCGTCGTGGTTGCTCGGTCACGATGAGGCGAGGAGGGCTGGGCACTCGAGCTGCTTCGCATCCACCCGCCTGCGGACACCCCCTCGTCGGCCGACGCGGGCTGTGCCCGGCGGGCGTGGAGGGCGGCCCGTGCGCGCGGGAGGAGGCAGCCCCAGCGCTGCGGCAGCGCGCGGCTGCGGCTTCCAGCGCCGCGTCGTCACGGAGTCGCGCGGAGGGCGGCTCTCGCTTGCCACCTGCGGCCTCCGGGGGGCCCCCCCCCCGCCAGGCTCGGCGCGAACACACACCCTCTCAGGATCATCGGGCAACGACTCGGGGCGAACAAAAAAAGCCGGTCCCGGCCCCAGGGATGTGGTCCACGTTCCCCGGGGGGCGGCAGAGAGGGGGGTGATGACCAGGAGGGGGTGGATCTCATGGCGTGGGCCATGAGACTTCCGCAGAACTCATGGCGCCTCTCCTCATTTCACTACGTCCCTGGCCCCTCCCCCCCCTGGGCCGGGCACATGGCGCCGGCCATGTTTCCCCCCCCCCCCCCCTCTTGGCCGCTCCCGAGTTCCCCGACCTCCGACGTCGCGATTCTGCTCGCACCGCGGATCCCCCCGGCGGCCTCGGAGGAGAAGCACGGGCCGCCGCCACCGAGAGAGCCCACCAGCGGGGGCCCGACCCCCAGGCGGCGGCTCGCCCGAGCGTCACCCCGTGTGCAAGAGGACTCCTCCTCCTCCTCCTCCTCCTCCTCCTCCTCCTCCTCTTTCTCCTCCTCTTCCTCCTCCTCCTCCTCCTCCTAATCCTCTTCCTCCTCCTCCTCCTCCTCCCTCCTCCTCCTCCCCTTCTCCTCCTCTCCTCCTCCTCCTCTCCTCCTCCTCCTCCTCCTCCTCTCCTCGTACTACTCCTCGTGCTACTCCTCCTCCTCCGCCTACCCCCCCCCCACCGACAGGTTCTCGGTGGCGGTGGCCCACGACGGGCCAGTCTTCCATGGGCACTACCTCATAGGTAGGACGGGGTCGAGGGGAGGATGGGAGTCGAAGAAGAAGAAGAAGAAGAAAAACCACATATACATAAACTTTTGGCGTTCCGCGCGGATTTCTTGGATCCGCGCCTGGGCCCCCCGGCGGCCAGGGAAGGTCCTCCTCCGCCTCCTCCTCCTCTTCCTCCGCTCCCCCCTCCTCCTCCTCCTCTTCCTCCTCCTCCTCCTCTCCTCCCTCTCCTCCCTCCTCCTCCTCCTCTCCCTTCCTCCTCCCCTCCTCCTCCCTCCTCCTCCTCCTCCTCCCTCCCTCCTCCTCCTCCTCCTCCTCCTCCTCCTCCTCCTCCCTCCTCCTCCTCCTCCTCCTCCTCCTCCTCCTCCTCCTCCTCCTCCTCCTCCTCCTCCACCTACTACGCTTCATCCCCCACCTCCCTCTCCTGCCTGTGGCAGCTGCGGTGGGCAGTCGCCCCATCAGTAGCCACGTTACTCCTCCGACGGTCTGGCCCTGGCCCCAGTGGCCAGCCCCGCAGGGGGCTCTCAGCAAGAGGACCTCCGGGCGCCGGCGATGGCCAAACATACGACCCCAGACGCGATCGCGTCATGACGGCAGGCAGGGCGGCGGGTTTTTGGCCATTGTCGACACCGGGGGGCCCTCGCCAGGCCTCGGGACCGTCAAGCAACGACTCGGGACGAAAAGCCGGTCCTGGGGAAAGGGTCGGGACTGCCAGGGACCCCGTACTGAAAATTTGTGTGACGTCGCGTGTGTGGGAAGTCGTGAGTTTCTCAAGACGGCTTCCCCGGAGGCCTGGACCGAGGGGCTCATGGCGCGAGTTTCTCGCGACTCGAGGGGGTTTGGGTCTCTTAGGGCCCTAGGGGTCCACGCCGTGGCAAAATGTCAAGATGCCCAAGGCTTTCTAATGCGGCGGCGTTAACGGGGATCGCCGCCTCGGCGCGCTGGCCAGTGAGCAGGTGGAGGCCGACCCCAAGGGTGCGGCGGAGTACTCGGCCGAGGCGCCGATGCCGGGGCAGACGGGAGGCTGGAGGAATCTTGCACACCAGGCACAGATGTCGCAAGGATTTTTGTTGGACGTGCGTCCACGACGGCGACCACGACTACGAACACGACGACAAAAGCGACGACGAGGACCACGACCACGCCCACGACGACGATGACCACGTCGCCGTCGCCGTCGCCGTCGTCGCCGCCGTCGCCGCCGTCGCCGTCGCCGTCGCCGTCGCCGTCCACTTTATCGTCGTCGGCGTCGGTGTCGACGTCGGCGTTGTCGTCGGTGGCCGTCGTCGTTTGCCGTCGGCGGGCTTTCTCCCTCGAGCGCCATAGGGTCTCCGAGCGGCCCACGCCCCTTCCTCGCAGCAGAACGGAGGAGAGGACAACAGGAAACAGATGAAAAACAGTGAAAAACAATGAAGCGCATGAAAAAGCAACGAAACCTGTGACTGTCGCTGTTTTTCAAGGTGTTCCTCCCCTTGCGCAAACACATGGCTTTTTACTGCTTTTCCTATTTTCCGGTGTTCCTCCTCCCTCCCTCGAGCGCCCCTGGCGCCTCCGAGCGGCCCGCGGACCCTCCGCCCAGAATGCGTGTGCTTCGGGCCCTGGGGCCTCAGGCGATTACCATTCGATTAGGATTGGGTTCCTTGTCAAATCCTATTGCAGAGAGCGGGCCCCACAGCGTTTCTTTCGTCAATTGCAAGTCATATTGCAAATCGTATTGCAAAGAGCGGATCACTGATCCAGATGATTTGTTCCTTGTCTGCGAACGAGGAGAGCCCCACAGCGTTCCTTTCTCGGCAGGGGAGGGACAGGCAGTCGGGCAGAGGCAGAAGGACAAGGTCGTTTCGGGGAGGGTGCCCTGACGTTCCGCGTGCTTGTCCGACGTTCTTGTGCATCCTTGGGGGGTGCCCTCGAGTGCTCTTCATTGTTGCGGGCGGAGGGTCTCATGTGCCTGAAGGAGGTTCTTCTGTCCAAAGCCCAACCGTATCGGTGGATATTGTACCAGGGTGGGTCGTATCTGGGTTATCCTGGAGTTACCGATGCCCTACCTGGCTGAGGGGGGCTGACAACCCAGGCTCAGTGGTTTCCGCCCACTTCGCGGAGGTGTCCAGCCCCTCCAAGCCATGTTGGGAACGTGTAACCCATTCATAAGCCAGGTTAGGTCAACAATAATCCTCATTGGCATCAACTGATAATCCCCCTATCCCCGAAGCAAACACGCCGATCCCAGTAGGGGAGGGGGAGGGGGCGGGGTCGTAACCTCCCATCCTTCCCCCTTGCGCCAGGTATGGCGACGGGTTTGGAGGGGGCCCTTGGATGTTTTTCTTGTGGGAGGGGGGAGGTCGCCCTTGACGGAGAATTGTCCAAGGCAAGCGATCTCCCAACGCGCTTTCCCCAGACATATATCGTAAGACGAAGATGGTTGCCTAGGCGGTGTTTCTGCAAGAGTTTTATCTTAAGAGAATAGGTGCGCTGTCGGATCTGGAGTCGGGCTGGCGACGTTACCTCATGTTGTTTCCCGTGGCCTCTCGTGGCCTCCCTTTGCCGTCGCTGCCCCCCATCCTTGTCCCTGTTGTCCCTTTCGGTACATCCCCATCTCTACCCATCGGTCGTTGAAAGTATGTATTTTTGGATTCCCAGATTCCAATCTACTTTCAGCGCCTTCCTACTTCAAGAGTCGAGTGGTTTTCCCTCTTCCTTCCTCTTCAGGAGGCGTGCGGAAGCCCAATCTATTTCCAACGCCTCCCTACTTAATGTTTCTACCTACTTCTTCCGACCGATGGGTGTCCTTATATCCGTATGCCAGCATCCCTAGCCTGATGCCCCTGTTCCTAGCCACATCCGCGCATCATGGCCCCCACTCGTGCCCCGAGCGGCCCCCCATCGTGACTGTGTGTGCGGCCGTGCCTGGTGCATCTTCTGCCGCAGAGGTGCCGTTCTGGGCTTTCGGTGTTCGGCCCTCGGAGGCCTCTGCAGGGCCCCAGGACTCAGGACGAAGAGCCACTCCCATGAAGCGAGTGCAGATTTCTAGGTCCCGCGCCGCCACGGAGAAAACACAGCGTCGGGGGCCTGGGGAAGACGCACAGGCGCAGACTTGCGGAGGACCTGGGCAGGCCTACTGTGTCGGCGCCGGGAGACCTTCCCATCCCCATCCTGAAGTCGGGCGTGTCCCTCGACAGGAGGGGTATTCAAACATAGTAAAAAATAGTCTGGGGACGAGTTGTTTCTGTATCTGTTTCTATGATTTGCTGATTTGATTATGGTTTGGTTGTTTCTATATGTTATCCAAAGTCCGCTTGTAGGAGGACGTGCCCGACCTCACCCTATCCCCCTTTTCACCACATCTTCCCTCTTCCTACTCTGCTCTCCCGCCTCCCGTCCACGTTCGTCGACCCTTCTCCCACCTCCTGCCCAGTCGTCGCGCCACATCGTCCCCCTCCACCTCCCCCCTTGATGGTTGGCCCTGCCGAGTCCTGGCTTTCTCTGCTCATGGAGCGGCAGGGTGAGAGGAGCAAGACTTGCCCGCCCCCCCTCCACCTCCCCCCTTGATGGTTGGCCCTGCCGAGTCCTGGCTTTCTCTGCTCATGAAGCGGCAGGGTGAGAGGAGCAAGACTTGCCCGCCCTGTCTTGTTTTCTGAAGCGCTCGTGGGATTGGTGCGCAAGCCACGGCTAGGTGATGACTCTCCACCCGGCAGTTTGGGATTGCTAGATTGGAGAGGCTTTACGGCCAGTGCCGCCGACCTTGAACGACGACGGCGACGACGACGACGATGTTGACGTGGGTCAGAGTCCTCAGGGATGCTTCTTGGGGTCTCTTCGAAGTGCTCTCGGGGGCCTCTGGGGGGTAGTTATGGGGCCCCTAGGGAGCCTCTTGGGGGCCCGTTGGGAGGCTCCTTCGGGCCTCTCGGGGCTTCCCGGATTGCCAGATTGTGAAGGCCTGACGGCCGGTGCCGCCGTCCCTGAAAGACATCGACGACGACCATGAGGAGGAGAAGGAGGAGGAGGAGGAGGCGGAGATAAGGAGGAGGAAGAGGAGGAGGAGGAGGAGGAGGAGGAGGAAAATGAGAAGGAAAAGGACTCCCCCCTGGGACCCTTCCCCGCGGAGGACCCCGGGAGAGCGGAGGGGGGGAGGAGGACCCCCAGGGACGGATGCGTATCTGACTCCCCTCCTCCCCCCTGGGACTCCTCCCCACCTGGGGAGTGGGACCCGAGGAGGATTGGCGCGCAGGAGAAGGACCGGCGTGGGAAAGGAGGACCCCCAGAGGCGATGCGAATCTACCCCCCCCCCGTTGGGCCCCCCCCGCCAGGGAAGGACAAAGGGAAGGGGCTTCCTCTTGACGTGACTACGCCGTGGGTCGATTTCCCTCAACCCCCAGACTCCTTCCCCCAACGACGGGAGAGTGCTCTCTCCCTTCCGACGGGGAAGGAGAAACAGAGAAGGCGTTCCGTCGACGGGACCAGGCAGACCCCTCACGCACGCCGACGGGGTCGACGGGGGCCCCTTGGGAGCCTCTTGGGGGCCTGTTTGGAGGCTCTTGGGGGCATCTCGGGGCTTCCCGGACTTCCAGTTTTGACGCAAAGGTCTCCCGACGTACGGCAGGGGGAAACAATTACTGGAGACTCCCCCGCTCCCCCGAACTCAAAGTTGGCGCGCGCGTGGGAGCATGCGGTCGAAGTGCAACTCATCAGACCCACCGCCAACTTTTTGAACCCTGGGGGGAGGGGGGGAGGCGTTGACCGATGAATGTGAATGTGGCACGCGTGTTCGTTTTTTTTTGTTGTCCGAGGCCTGTGCTCGTGCTGCAGCCGCCAGGCCTTTCTAAGAGAGCGTACCTGTACAGTCCGGGCCTTGAAGAAGGAACCCTTTTCGTTGGGAAGGGGCTCCGCGTTCCTTAAGTGTTTCACAGTTTGCCTTGGGTTTTCCTTATGTTTTCGATCGGAAGTCGAAGTTTAACTTATGGGAAAAAGGGGCCTAGTTCCTTATTCAGGGTTCCTTAGGTCAACGCCCCGACTGTATCTCGGGCCTCGGGTGTTCGAGGGACGGCGGTGGTGGCGGCTGCAGGTGTTTCGCGGCCGCCAGGCCCTATAGGTGTGGAAAGGTGCCCCTGGAAGGTACGATCGAAGAGGAAGAGGGAGGGTATCGTCAAACGACGCGAAGATCGGGGCAACATCGGATCGGGATAACTCGAAATCTCTGAGAATCGGCGGGTTTGGAGGATGTATTGGGCGCCGCGGCCGCTCCAGAGCGTTCCGGAACGCTCTGAGAGCGCTCCGGAACGCTCTGGAGCGATTTATCCCGATCCTAGCCTTGTTTTATATCGAGGGTCTGGGATGTTACGCGTGTTGAATGGCACGCGAGAAGACAAGAGCAAACAGTCTTGCTGTTCTTTTGTTTGTTCGGTGTCGTCGTCGTCGCCCCCGTCCCGCTCGCGACGCCCCCCGCGGCCCACCCGCGACACACCCGCGACCAGCCCCGCGATATCCGCCTTTTGCGTCCTTGTGTGGGGATCGCTGGAAGCAGGCATTCGCAGGCAGTTTGCCTCCCGCGCCCTCCGGCTTTCCGACGCGAGGTGAGGCAGCTCAGGAAAGGAGGGAGGCCCTGTGATAATTATACCCTGAGGTTCAGGAGGAAAAAAACACACAGACACATTTTTTGGTCTGCGGGTCGAGAGCGAGCCTCTTCCGGTTGAAAGCTAGGCGGGCTACGCAAAGCTCTAATTGGGGAGACAGAGCACAGGCGGGCGGGGCCTCAGGCGGCCGGAGGGCGGGCCGAAGTGCAGGCGGTGCCGGAAAACGCACAGACACATTGAATCGACGAGTCCCCAGGGGCGAAGTAGCGGCCGGGACCTCTGCAGCCACAGATGCGTGTCAGCAGCAGCGCACAGCCGGACCGAGGTATGAGATCGGGGTTGGTTCTCGGACGGCACCCTGATGTTCTTCGTGCGTGCTGGATGTTTTGGTACGTCTTGGGGCGGGCCCTCGAATCTTCTTTTTGTTTTGC